CTTTGATAGGTACTGGAAGAAGGGGTGCTTGCTGATTATCGACTGATTTTGTTGATTGTGTGCTCAGGGCTTTGACATACATAATCTCTTTTCATCTTCATAATGCTCAGGTCCCCTGATTCCAGGTTCCATGCTTATACCCTCAAATCATTTGGTAAAACAAACGTTAAATTATTACAATTTAGCAGGACTACCAGTAAAAGAAATGTATTTTTAACTACATTATTTAATTATTTATTTAAAAAAAAAGAAAGCAAATAAACAGCACATTCAAAGCATTTACCTTTCCTGGGGGAAAAAAAAATTGCAGTCCCCGTCTTTCATATGTTTAGTTTCAACAATTTTGGGATCACGATGCAATGATATAAATAAAATGTCTCTCAACTCAGAGATTCTACCCCTGAGGAATGAAGGTCGCTTGAAACTGATTCATTTTTCCCAACCCATTTTAGGGAATTGCACAATAAATCAATTATATTATTTGACATTGTTTTTTATTCAGAGGAATAACGTATGCAACATCCCCTCGAGGTATTAATACTCTAGAGCACTTACCTCGAATCCAATCACATAGCCCCAAACCTCAAATCTCCTGACTCTTGGTAAAGACTTATTCACGTCGGGTGTTTCTTCTTGGACTGAGATTTGTAAATTGACGAAAATATAAATGTAATTTAATCTAAAACAAACAATTCAATCATACCTAGTCAGCATGTATTGCTATAAAGCCAGGGAATCAAATAATGAGACATGAATCTCTAAGTGAACCTTCAAACTTGAGAGAGAAAACACACTTCAGAGTGTGGGAGCTGCTATGATGAAAGCAGATCTGGAGTGCTGGGAGCACAGAGAATGCTGGAATTTAGTGGATCCGGGGGAATCATGACCCTAAGGAAGCGGACTTGAAAGAATTAGAAACTTTAACAGACAGATATGGAAGAAGGGCAATAACACAAATGGAAGGAAATTATTTACTTTTAGGAAACTAGGGTATGAGAGAGGAAGAGAAAATAAAGGCCTGGAAAGGAAATTGGCACTTGATTTTGGAGACCATTTTTTGTGTAGAAAACGGGCAGTCCTTATCTGGGCTCTGGAAACATTATTCGTTGAAGACTGAATTTGGATAAATGAATAAATCACTTTTTAGTCTCAGTGGAGTTTACTGCCACTTACTATGTACCAGGTACTTTTCCAGGTTTATATCTATTTATCCATTTAATCCTCATGACAATTCTACAAGGAAATTTCTATCAGTATCCCCATTCCACAGATGAGAAAGCTGAGACACCTAATGTTTAGTAACTTGCCCCAGCTCAGTGAGCTGAAATGGGGGAGAACAAGGATTCAACCTAGGTCAAAGCCATATTGTAAGTTAGGCTGCTTAACTTTGACTGCGTGTCTCTACTGAAGATCAGAGGAGGAGCAAGAGAGTGGGCTACCAGGGATGGATTGGATTGATGATTGAATATGGAGATAAAGAGAGAGTGTTAGGTCAAAATTAAATGATGCTGTTAGTGAAATTAGAGAAAAATAGAAGTATGTTTGGATAAAACGATAACATTGTTGTGCATATGTTGAACTTGACCTCAGCAGGACCTATCAGGTATCTCTATCTATCAGGGAGTTGGAAGTTTAGATCTGGAGCTCACTTAGCCAGAAGAGGACTAGGGTCAGGAGAGTGAGGCACTTGCCTCATGCACAAAATTAATAGGACGAAAAAAAAGAAAAAAGAAATCAAGTATTTTAGTATATAAAATAGTATTTCAATGCAACACTTTTTAAAATACAAAAATTAATGTCTAAACTATTAACTAACTATCAAAGTGTTTTTTGGTTTTGGGGTTTTTTTTTTTTTTTTGAGACGGAGTCTCGCTCTGTGGCCCAGGCTGGAGTGCAGTGGCGCAATCTCGGCTCACTGCAAGCTCCACCTCCCGGGTTCACGTCATTCTCCTGCCTCAGCTTCCGGAGTAGCTAGGACTACAGACGCCCGCCACCATGCCTGGCTAATTTTTTTTTATTTTTAGTAGAGATGGGGTTTCACCGTGTTAGCCAGGATGATCTGGATCTCCTGACCTTGTGATCCGCCCGCCTCGGACTCCCAAAGTGCTAGGATTACAGGCGTGAGCCACTGTGCCCAGCCCAAAGTTTTAAGTTATGAAAGGATCAGTACTTTTCCTTTGTCTCAGCCTGTACAGCACTATATACAATCCTGTCTCTATTTGAAATGTTATATCATGATATTTCGCATTAATTTTGAGCTTTAAAATATCACCATAAAATAGTATTTATCTTGAATGCTACTTTGTTTTGTTGTTTTTTGTGCCTTTTTAACTTCTGCATCCTAGGCATGTGTCTTACTTACCTCACACTGGCTCTGGCCTAACCTAGAGGGAATTTCACTTTCATCTATGCCAAAGCTTCTTTTTATTTCTCCAAGAAAGGAATGATCACTGAAATTGAAACTGAACTTGAGATACTTCTGGTTTTTAAATTATCTTAAATCTAGAGCACCAGTTCTTATATTTTTTTTTTTTCCTCAGGAGGAAGAGAATATATGATTTCAGTCTACAGATAAGGAAACCGAGATCTAACAGCTCAAAGTTAAAACTAAGTTTCTTAGTGCTGCATAGGACACACTAGATCAGAAGCTTCTCTAGGTACAACCTTGAGGAAAATAAAACCATAAAGTATGCTTCAGGGAAAAACACCTGGCCAAATAATTCGTACTGAAAGAATACGTTTTGGAAAGAGCAAGTGCTTTTGAATGAGAGAGAGAGAGCTTGAATTCCCTTTGGCTACTCATCAGCTGGGTGACTGACTTATGGCAAACTCCAAAGTTTCAGTTTCCTCATCAGTAAAATGAGGCTTCATATCCACCTCTCACTGTTTTGGTCAGGAGAAAAAAAAAGAATATAGATAATGAAATTTATCCATTAGGATCTCAACTTACAACAGAGGATGCATGCAAAATAGGAAAATTCCAGGAGATTTTTAGTAAGCTATATACAAAAGTACAGAGGCAGAGAAAAACAAAAGGAATAAAATATGTGAAGGGAGAGTTGCTATAACCCAACCAGAGAGAAAAAGTCAGGCAGAGTTATTTGGCTTTAAAAGAACAGTGACTTTTTGCAGAAGAAGCCAAGCAAATGAATACTCCGACCTCACTCTCTTCTCCCTCTCATCTCCAACCAAGCCTCAGCTAGAGGACATCAGAGCCCACTTGATTTAACTCTTGCAGATCAGCCTCAGGGAAGATGGAAGGGTGCAGGACAGAGAATAGATCTAAAGGAGCCAAAGAAAACTTACCACCACATAATAATAGTTCCTAATTATTGAGTGTTTTCTGTGTAACAGACACAAATATCTTATTTGTGTCAACTATTTAAACCAAATAATCTTATAAGGCAAATATTACTTCCCCATTTTAGAGATGAGGAACGTGAGACTGGCTGTGTGTAGTTAAGTAACTTCCTGAAAGCCTCAGAACTAAGGATGGAAGCAGGAATTGAATCAAGATAATGTGTACTATAGCCAATTATTGTCAAACATCAGTTAGTGGTAGTAATTGGTTTCTTAATTATCATCACTATCATAAAAACTATTTAATCCCAACTAATTATATTTCCAGGGGTTTAACTCAACTATAATACTGCAAATATATAATAAAGTATGTTCAATATGCTATTTGTAATACTGTATTGGCAAAATACACACAAAATTTAAATGCCTAATGTTGGGGCTCAGAAACCAATACCACAAAATGTGACACTTTGACACGCTGAAATGAAGAAGCCTCAAATTTTCTTTGACCTTCCTTCACCAATCCTCTCTTTCCCAAAGCACAGGATGAAGGTGTTCTCTGAAGTTCCCTTATCTGCCTAAAGTCTCGACTTGCCAAAGAAGAAAACAGTTACCTCTGGTCGCTTCCCCGACTTTCCACAAACTGAACTCATATTGCAGAAAGAAAAACTGAAGTCTGTCAACACACATGGACTGACTTTTGTCACAAACCACTGTCTGCTCTGCAGGCTTAACAGACTTTGTCTCAGGCCATTGTATGTTCTTCAAGCCCATTGAATTCCCCTAAAAATCATTTTCTAACTCCCCAAATCACCCGTACATCACCCATCTGCCTTTCCTCTAGTAAGGATGTGCAACCATCTGTACCTCATTGGGATATTGGGCAATCACTCTGTGATTCTCCCCCATGTCCGTTGGTAAATTTGTATGCCATTTGTCCTGTTAATCTGCCTTTTGTGACTTGGTTTTTCAGTGAAGCTTCAGAGGGCAGACAGGAAGTTTTCCCTTGGCCCCTACACTATGAACTAAGATAGACAAAATAAATTAGTATGTTTATAAGGTAGAATACCATGTGGTCAGTAAAAACTGGTAGCTCTATGAGTACTGTGTGTTGATACACAGACACAGACACACACACAAACACACACACAATGGGGGAATTCGGAAAGGTTATATGTTACATTTTCTGTTAAAAATTTAAAATAACTACATTATCTATATTCTTGTTGACAAAATTTGAGTGTCTGGAAAAATACATAAGAAACTGGTAACGTAATTGCCTTTGGGGAAAGCAACTGGGTGGCAGGGTGAAATGGAGATAATTTTTTATTGCACACATTTTGTACTTTTAATATTTTTACCATGGTCATGTAATAACCTATGAAAAACATAATTTAATTAAGGAAAAAATCTAATTTTGCATTATTATTGACGTTCCAGGGATTCATGTAATTTTAGAAATTGAATGAAAACAATTTTACGTGCATGAAATTCAGCTTTCTTACTCTATACATCCTGAGTGATTTGCCTTTTTCAGTAACAAAATCCTTTACTATACCAGCTTGTTAAATGAATGCCAAATCAAGAGTAAATTTTCCATATGGAACACTAAAAATTCCATATGGAACACTAAAAATTCCATAGTGTTTTAGCCATCCTGCAAAAGCAAAACCTATAGGTAAAACAATGAGAAAATTTTCACCTTGAAACTAGGTAACAGGTAACCCAGAAAGCTGGCCAAGCATAAAATTACAGCCACAAACAGCCCTGCAGAGAACATCTCAGGAGGGCGGCTGCTGGGTTTTTGTTGTTGTTGTTGTTGTTTTCATCTTTCTTGGCCAAAGGAAGCAGGTGGTAAGAGAACTCAACCACAGCTCCTGAACTCCTTGAGATTTACAGAGCTCTGTCACCTGGGGTAAGACTGTCATTCTTTCAGGTTTTCTTCCTGTCCAAGAAAACAGACACGCTGTTTTTCATGGTATTTTCAAACTGGAAGATCAAGACAGAAACTTTGGTCATCAGGAATGGAGAGATTGCCCAATGAAATGACAGAATTGATCATTAGGATGTTTGTTACTCAAAAAGCCAATTTTTTAAAGAAGCATGCATTAAAATTATTCCAACATGCTAATGTGGCACACTCCTCTGCTGCCTAACGGCAAGTGTTGCTATTAGCAGAGGAAGATTTGTTCTAGGAAAGAAGTATTCTAGAGGGCCAGAAAGAACAGGTATTGCTCCACCCGGGTAAACGCTGACTCAACTCTGTAGGGCTGGCACGCTCTTTCCTCACCTCACCCCTCCTGCCAAGAACAACTGAGATCCAGAAATAGCAGAATTAGCGAGAGAAGAGGAAATATGCAGGACGGTGATGATGAGTATGCACGAGGGAGTGCCAGGCAGTTTTCATCGTTAATGTTCTCCGTCTATTGCTAGAGAAAATGTCTTTCCTTGGAGGAGGCATTGGCACGAGTTACTATAAACTCCCTCTGAATCTCAACACTTCTGGGACGCCGATTCTGCTCCTGGCCTGGGGCAGGGCGTGGGAGCTTGGAAGCCAGCGCTGCGCTCCCCGTGGGAAGCGATCGCCTACTCCATCAACTCGCGCCCGGGCACTTAGCTCCTCCCGTTTCAGGGCGCCGCCTCCCCGGATGGCAAACCCTATAAAGTGGCGGCGAATAAGGTTCCTCCTGCTGCTCTGGGTTTAGTCCAGCTACAAGGTCAGCGAGATCCCGCGCCCCCCGGAGTACCGCGTGCAGGAGCCATGGCACAGGAGCTATACCACGAGGAGTTCGCCCGGGCGGGCAAGCAGGCGGGACTGCAGGTCTGGAGGATTGAGAAGCTGGAGCTGGTGCCCGTGCCCCAGAGCGCTCACGGAGACTTCTACGTCGGGGATGCCTACCTGGTGCTGCATACGGCCAAGACGAGCCGAGGCTTCACCTACCGCCTGCACTTCTGGCTCGGTAAGGGACGGCGGGCGGCGGGACCCCGACGCGCCAAGGCGGGCGAGGGGAGGACGTAGGGGTCCGAGATTTGCAGACGTGGGAGCAAAGGGGACCGCAAACTGAGCTAGACTGGAGACCTGTCGGGCGGCCCTTTGCGGCCGGCCACTTTCTCCCCGCCGAAGTCAACTTGCCTGCTGCAAACCCGAGGCTCTGGCGTTGTCCGCAATTGACTCACCCCACAGGCTTTGACCTTTGCCAGGTGTAGTTCTGGGACTTTGGAGCTGGTGACTCTGGCTTCTTCCCCTTTCACCTTCAAGTCTCCAAACGCCACTCTTGTCCAGGGGCTCTGCCTCCGCGCACGCCGTCTCTAGCCAAGCCCTACTTACCTTCCGACAAGCTCAGTCCTGCTTTCCCTGTCAGGATGGAGAGGAAGTCGTAAAGTTTGGGTGCATCTGCCGCCGCTAGGGAGAAGTCTTTTTCTTTTCCTTCACACATTATTTTTGTTTGTTGCTTTCGGGCACTGGCATATTTTCTCTATGATTGCGGGGATTATTGTTCTGGGCCTCTTTAAAATAGGATTCTACCCGCACCACGCTGCTTGAGGGTCTGGTAGACAAAAACTCCACTTCATTAGGAAGCTGACGCCCTCAGATGGAAGCAAGAAAAAGATACAGATATTTTATATATAAATAAATAGCTCTATATGGATATTTCACATATTTATGTAGATAGACTGCTTTATTGTTATTATTTATTATTTATTTTAGCAAGGACACAAGATGGAACAGAAACTGTTCCTTCAGCAGTAGTAATTATTTTGAGCTGCGTTCGTGCCAGGCTGTCAGGACACTGAGCCTTGTGTGTTCTTTTTCCACCTTCTACTTTTACTCATAAACATCCTGAATGTCCACTCTCTCCCCAGGAGGTCTTGTGCCAGTGGGCACACCCTGTCTAACAACATGCCTATTCTCTGAGCCTTTTTGCCTTCTTTTAAAACTAGCTAGCCTGCCCAGTACTCGTGTTTGTTTAGTTTTATCCCTGAGCTTAGGAGGAAAACACACAAAACTACACACACACATACACATTTTTAAGTCCCTGAAAGCCAACATTGTAATTTCTAACACTTGAAGATTTTAAGAAACGAAATAGTGGAAAACATGGAATAGTGACTGTCTAAACACTGGCAAACACCTGGAACAGGCATTTGAGAAATGAGAAATGAAAAATATGTAGATGAAGATAAGACTTTTAATTATAATATTTGGAGTCAAAAATTTGTGTTAGTTTGAGGAGGCAGAGAAGGCTCAGCCCGAGTTCTAAACACATTTTGGTTTCTTGTTGCATTGCTGTTATTCCTATTATAATGCTGTAATATACTGTCATCTATTTGTATTTTGTGCCAGAAAACACTGAAACTTTAATATATAACCCATGTTCAAGAATGAATGATGCCAGATAGAATAATGATGTCCTTACAGAGGACTTCCCATGCAGAACTTGAATCTAATATGAATGAAAGTGTTTAAAATGCCACGTTTGCCACTTGAATAAATTAAAATGTGAAATCATTCCATATCTTACTGTAGACAGCAGTTAAGTTTGACTTTGTCAGACGACCGCAAGGGAGATTTGAACACAGTTCTTTAATTCTATACATTTTTATCCAAGTTGACTTAACTACTAAGTTTTGTAGGGTTTATAGATTCACCTTATTAACTTAATTATCCCCTTAATTATCCACTTGGTGCTCATAAATTTCAAAAATATAATAAAAAATGCTTTGAGCAGAAATGTTTATAATCTTAAAGACGTGCTAAAACTGAAGTCAATAACATGTTAATAACAAGCGAATTCATTCAGTAATTATTCAATATGGCCAGTACAGTACAAAGCACTTGTAGGTATGAATAATTAATGAACCTTCTCTGAAAGTTCATCACCTCAAAGGTGCAAAAAGACAGAAAGTGATATAACACAGGTAGAATGTGATAGTTACTGTGAAAGCACAAAGTGTCTGTGGTTATTGGGAAACAGAAGCCTTTACAGAAAAAAAAAAAAAAAAAAAAAAAAAAATGAGAGTATTTGGAAGGGTTTTTGTGTCAAGAGAGAATCATGGAGAGGAAAAAAGTTTCAAGTAAAATAGCCAACAGGACCTTCAGATGGGATTGCCCAACAGTTCTTCCTACTTCAGTTCCCTAAGAAAACAGAATTTCATCCAGAATAGTGTAGTCTAAGACCTAAATTAGGATGAATCCATGAGGATTCATCAGAGAGACAGATTGAGAGAAAGTCCCAGGAGAGAGAGCTGAACATCCAGGGAAAAAGAACATTTGGTTAAAGGGAATCAGCTGGAAGGAAGAGAAACTAAAGTTAAATTGAGATGAAAAAAGGTGCGTAGCATAGAAATGAAGAAACAGGCCAAATGGGAGGCAGAAAGGAGAAATAGGAAGAAGTTGGACCTAAAACGAGAGAGAAGAGAGGGAGAATCATCTTTCCTGGTCTCTCCTTCCGTGTTTCCATAACACTCGGTATATCTCAGATTACATGTATTAACATCATATGCTTAAATGTAATGAAAGTAAAAATTTATTGCAAAGAACTTAAATGTTATTGCATTATCCCTTCTTTAAAAACATTTCAGCTTTGCACCTAGCAGTTTAAATGCATCCATTCACCTTCTGTTTCTAGTTCCTTATAGCACCAAATGAATGGGTAGGTCTAGATAGTAAAACTGCTCCCTGTCACATCCCTAACCTAAGCTACAAACACTTATCCTCATTCTTTCTGTTTGCCAGTTTTAAACTTTACCCAAATATATTTTAAAGCAGTATACATTTATGTTATAAGTGGGCTGTATCAGGCCTTGTGCCCTGAGAATCCAAAGGATTGGATTACAATATACGATACAAAGAACTTATATGAAGGACTGGCTAGGATGCTAAGAAACTGCATCATTTACATTGCTGGAGCATGGAGGTGGGTATGTGCAATGGTGCAGCACTCTGGAAAAGAGTTTAGTAGTTTCTTACAAAACCAAATATACTACTACCATATGACCCAGCAATTGCATTCATAGGTATTTATCCCAGAAAAATGAAATTTTGTGTTCACATAAAAACCTGTACCTGAATTTCCACAGCAGTTTTATTTGAATAAGCGAACACTAGAATCAGCCCAGATGCTTTTCAACAGGTGACTGGTTGAACAAGTTGTACATCTGTACCAACTAATACTACTCAGCAATAAAAAGGAACAAACTGTTGATACATACAACAACTTGGATGAAGTTCCAGGGAATCATGCTGAGCGAAAAATCTTAAGAAGCTTTATACTGTATGATCCCATTTATATAACATTTTTGAAATTACAAAATTTTAGATTTGGCATTGCCATTAGTTATGTATTGATAGGGTGAAGAGGGGATGATGTGGGCTGGAGAAGAGTGTATTATAAAAGGGCAACATGAAGGATGTTTTTGGTGGGACTATACAGCATCTTGATTGCGATAGCAGATGTATGAATTTGTTCATGTGATAAAACTTTATAGAACTAAATGCACATATACACACATGAATACAAGTAAAACTGAAAAAAATATGAAAAAAATAGGTGGATTATATCAATGCCAATATCCTGGTTGTGGTATTCAGTGCTGTACTGTACTATACATTAATATACTAAGCCATACTGTAATTTTACAAAGTGTCACTACTGGGGGATATTGGGTCTATTGATCTGTGTCTATCCTTCAACAGTACCAATCTGTTTTAATCACATTAGCTATATAGTAAACCTTAGTATCAAGTAGAGCGATTCCTCCCACTTTATGCTTGTTTGTCGAGATGATTTTAGCTATTCTAGGGCCTGTGCCACACTATATAAATTTTGGAATAAGCTTGTATATGTCTGTAATAAACCTTACTGTGATTTTGATAAGAATAACATTAGGCCTATAGATCAATTTGTGAAGGATTGACATCGTTATTATGTGGAGTCTTAAAATCCATGAACACTAAATGTTTACGTTTACTTAGGTCTTCATTGATATTTTGCATGCCATTTTGTAATTTTCAGTGTACAGTTCCTATTCGTTTTTTAAACTATATGCCTGAGTATTACAGTTTCTTTGGAGTGATTGTAAATAGCATTGCGCCTTTAATTTCAGTTTCCGCATGTTCATTGTTTCTATATAGAAATGTGACTGATTTTTTGTGTTACTGATGAATCTTGTATCCTGCTAATTTGCTCAATGTACTTTTTATTTCTAGGAGAGTTTTTTTTTTTTGGTAGCTCTCTTAGAGTTCACTATGTAAACAATATTGTTGTCTCTAAATAGAGACCTTTTTATTTCTTCATATTCAATTTGTATGCCTTTTTTTTCTTTTTCTTATTTTATTGCAGTGGTTAGAACTTCCTGTACTATGTTGAATAAGAGTGGTGAGAGTTCACACCCATTTTCTGGATTTTATGGGAAAAACATTCAGTCTTTTACTGTTCAGCATTGTTAGCGCTACATTTTTTGTTGACTCTAATTATCATTTGAAGGTGTTCTTCTATTCCTAATTTGGCTTATTTTATTTTATCATGGATGTCTGTTGGATTAACCTAGTTTTAAACCCCTCTTTTTATCTATAAAATCGTTACAACCACAAAATACAGTAATTTGCAGGATGTACACAAGTTTAACATAATATAAAATAGCATGGCACAACATAGTATAACAGAACATAAAAGACACTGATAAAATCAGTGTAGGGAAACAACAAATGGAAATCATAAGCAGATTCATAGGGGAAAACTAAATTGTTTCTTAACCAGACTTTATACACAAAGTTCATAAGTTTCTAAACACTTTCTGGAATTCCATCATGCTACTACTGAATTTGATTCTAATTTTTGAATCCCAAGGCTGACATTGGCTTCATCAAGACCATCAACCTCTTTCAGGCAGCCTGTTTTATTCATACAGATATCCCCTGGCCAACCACATTACATAAGCATCAGCAAATGATAGCATAATTTAATTAACTTACTTTCAGTTCATTCATTAACTTCATGCCTGTCCATTTACATCTACTTAAAGAGATTCAGGTTTCAACTTGTAGTCAGGTAAGGGTGTTTATGTCAAATACATCATCTTTAGCACCTTTGATGTTAATCTTGATTCCAAGTTATCTCTTAAAGCATCATAAAAATCTACATCTACGTCTTTACGGTACTCTCAGTTAGGGTTTGGATCCCAAATTGGCAGAAGAATGACACCAGAGTCCTTTCAGATCGCAAAATTGCTGGTGTGTTAAATAATTAACTTTGACCACAGCAAGTTCACAAAATTGTTGTCATGCCAAGTAGTCTTCTAGCTACTGAGTTGTTTTTTGTTGTTGTTGTTGTTTTCCCCCCTCAGAAGATACTTGGTATATGGGTCTCCTTTGAGAGTAAGAGGGGGAATTGTAAGAAATCTGATTCTTTCTTTAATACAGCTGACTGATTTCCCTTCTTCAACTTTGGTGAATACTCTCAATTAGGGTTGTTCATGTGAACTATTAAATTATTACAGCTTCTAAACTTTTATGCATCAGTTATCCATGGCAGAAATTAACATACCTTGTCACTATAAAATTGTACCGTTAATGAGAGCCTGAGTACAAAAAATTACCCACAAGTGTACTGTAGCTTTTAAGAACCTGTGCTTCAGAGTCACACAAACCTACATCTGGTCCTTTTCTCCCAAAAGTTGCTTTATGACCTCAGAAAAGTTACCCAGCCTCTCTAAGCCTCCATTTTCTCTGTTCCAATCTAGTAGAAAATAGGTTCTGCTTTATTAGGTTGTTTGAAGATTAAATGAGATCATCCATGTAAAACACTGGCACAGTGTCTGGCCATTAGGGGTAGTATAAATGTATAATGTTGGCCATTATTATTTCTAGAGTCATTTAAGATTTTTATTACAGCTTGGATGTAGTAAAGAGTTTGTAGTGTTTTCCATAAAATGTGAGTACCCCTCCTGACTGTCCGTACTGTGACCTTTATGTATACTACAGACACTCGTTCTTACTAATTGTTTTGACCTTAGTGAAGTTACCTGGATGTGATCTGTATTACAATTGTGAAAATTAAATGTATGTTGTATGTAAAATACCCGGAACAATACCAAGTACATTAACACTTAATAAATGTTAGCATGCTGCTTCCTTTGCTCTTCTTTTCCTTCAGAGATCATTATTTCATTCAAACAAAACCAATCAGATAGTGAAGTAGGGAAAAAGACCAAAAAAATAGGAGTAAAATTAAATTATATTCATTTTCCCATTGTAAAAACCACTTATTTAATTATGGCTCGTGATGTTCATATTTCTCACAAACATTAATTCACATGTTGACATATCATAAAACCAAGGATTTATCCTAATAAAGGCTAAACCAGTTGTCAAATGTTTTCATAGCCTGATCTTATTGACCTTACCAAATTAATGTTTACTTAAATCTCATTGGAATAGGTTGTTTTATCTTCCCGAGCAACTTCACACAGCAGTGTTTCTTTTTAAAATTTTTGAAGGAATTGGAAAAAGCAGAAACAAAAACAGGCCGGGCACGGTGGCTCACATCTGTAATCCCCCAAAATTTAAGAGGCCAAAGCCAGAGGACTGCTTGAGGCCAGGAGTTTGAGACCAGCCTGGGCAACATACAGAGACCTTTTCCCTACACAACATTTTTTTTTTTTTTTTTTTTTTTTTTTTTGAGACAGAGTCTCGCTCTGTCGCCCAGGCTGGAGTGCAGTGGCCGGATCTCGGCTCACTGCAAGCTCCACCTCCCGGATTCACGCCTTTGTCCTGCCTCAGCCTCCCGAGTAGCTGGGACTACAGGCGCCCGCCACCTCGCCTGGTTAGTTTTTTGTATGTTTTAGTAGAGACGGGGTTTCACCGTGTTAGCCAGGATGGTCTCGATCTCCTGACCTTGTGATCCGCCCGTCTCAGCCTCCCAAAGTCCTGTATTACAGGCTTGAGCCACCGCGCCCGGCTGCACAAAATACTTTTTTGAGAATTAGCAAAGCATGGTGGCATGCACCTGTAGTCCAAGCTGCCTGTGAGACTGAGGCGGAAGCATCACTTAAGCCCCAGAGTTTGGGGTTACAATGAGCTATGACTATGCCATTGCACTCCAGGCTTGGCAACAAAGCAACGCCCTCTCTCAAAAAAAAAAAAAAAAAAAAAAAAAAAAAAAAAAAAATTGTTAATTATTAGCAAAATAATATGTTACACTATTTTAGCTAAAAGATCTTTCTGTAGAAGACTGTTGTATTGACACATAATTGAAATGAAAATTTCTGACTCCTTTCATATCAGAAATTCTGCCTTAATCCTTCTTCTTGCTTGGTATTTGAGGTGCTGTTGTTCACTGTTTTAGGAAAGGAGTGTTCCCAGGATGAAAGCACAGCTGCTGCCATCTTCACTGTTCAGATGGATGACTATTTGGGTGGCAAGCCAGTGCAGAATAGAGAACTTCAAGGATATGAGTCTACTGACTTTGTTAGCTATTTCAAAGACGGTCTGAAATACAAGGTAAGCAGCTCTCTCACTTTCCATTATGAATCCCTTTCTCCTCTCGTCCATCCATACCTCCTGTCTTCATAGAATGACAGTTCATTGAGGGCACAGTTTTTTGTTTTTTGTTGTTGTTGTTTTAATCTGTTTTGTTCATGGATATATCCCCAGTACCTGATGAATACACAGTAGGTGCTCAGTAAATGTTTGTGAAATGTGTGGTACAATATGTGAAATATTGTGACAATTTAATTTGATAGCTTAATTTTTTAAAAGAGCTTTCAGTTATGTCTTCACAAAACAAGTTTTTAATATTTTGTAGCTATTTCAACATTTAAATTTTGGTAATTTGGGTCTTAAAAGTTTTCGTTTTTGCTATTCTAGAGAATCTCTGAAGTTTCTGCAAGTAACCGAAGCCTTCAAAATCTCAGTTGTTCTGGAATATATTAATACAGTATTTATAATAATTATAATTTTAGTTACTGTAAAGAACTATACATGTATTTCCAAAATAGTGTGGTTTGATCTTAGAAGGGATGCAGATGAAACTTTTGAGCTGAAAATTCTGCAGGTAAACTACACACACGCGCATACACAATTTACCCACACTGGTCTGAAACACTGACCAATTGGCTTTACTTCTGAAAAACAAGAACAAATAGTTAAATGGTTCTATCCCTTTAAGGCAGCCTTCAGTATAGGACAGGGTTTTTTTTTTGTCTTTTGTTTGTTTGTTTGTTTTGTTCCTTTTTTGTCATTCTCCCAGTTGTCTTTCCAGATTGGCCCTCCCTTCATCATTCCTGCCACCCACCGCTCCACATGTGTTCTGTTCACGTGTGAGGAATACCCTCTCCAGACAAACATCACAGATTTCCGAAATCAAACACGCTCCAGCAAGTGTTCTGCACATCCCACTGCCCCGCCTTGTCAGCATGCTACCCTAGTGAAGACCTGAAACCTTAGAGCTTCACTGCAATTCTGACTGTAATAATAACTCCACTTACTAAGATGGCAAGGCTTATTTACACCTTTGCCTGTTCAGAGTCTTGGTTGAATATTTTGTGATACTATTGAGATCAGAACAAAACACTTATATATTGTAGGTTCTCTTATGTCTCTTGAAATCATTTTTTTTTTCTAGGCTATGAACTACCCTAAATACAAAACTATTACCTCTCATTTTATTTGATTCACATGAGCTCCTACAGTTTATGACAAATTATACTGAAACTTCCTTTATGTCAGTGAACTCAACATTTTAAATAAGTTGAGTCTTGTAGTTACTAAAAGCAGGTGCTGTGACACCATCCTAGTTATGGACCCATTTCTGCCACATATGACGTTTTTCCTTTAGGGAAAATACAGAGCTTTCTGTGCTCAGTTTCCCTAAACGATAAATATTATAACAGCTTCCTCATACAGCTGTTGTATTAAGGAATAAATTAAATAATAAAGTAACTGTGGTCGGGCGTGGTGGTTCACGCCTGTAATCCCAACACTTTGAGAGGCCAAAGCAGATGAATCACCTGAGGTCAGAAGTTTGAGACCAGCCTGACTAATATGGTGAAATTCCCTCTACTAAAAATACAATAATTAACTGGGCGTGATGACATGCACCTGTAATCCTAGCTACTAGGGAAGCTGAGGCAAGAGAATTGCTTGAACCCAGGAGGCAGAGGTTGCAGTGAGCCGACATCATGCCATTGCACTCCCGCCTCAGAGACACGAGTGAAACTCCGTCTCAAAGCAGTAGTACATAGATGAAAACTTGTATTTATTTAATTATATAATGCTTATTCAACCAAGAAATGTGGCAGTCGTTGTAAAATTATGGACTAGGAAATCATTATATATATATATATTTTTAATTTGAGGTTTTAATTGTCCTGAAATTAACATTTAATCTATACCAACTTTTCTTGGAGAATGGTGGAAATTTAAAGTCGGTGGAAAAGAATGTACTAATGACAAATTAGCTCTAAGTTTCCTTACCATTATTATAGAGGTCTTTAATCTATCAGTGACAGTTTTGTTTATTCTGCAGCTCAGTTATGCACATATAATTAATTATAATTAATTGTGGAAATAAGGATATGGTTCATATCATTTAATTAGAAAAAATGAAAAGGTAAAAGATGATTGCAAATAATATAAGAAGATGTAGTTGATACAGTTAATATTTTTTCTTAAGCTTTTCTTTAATTCAGTGTGATTGTATTTCATTTTATTTTGTTTTGTTTTGGCTGGGGATGTACAGTCAAGATATTGCATCTCTCCTAGCTTACAGTAAAAACACTCAGGCCTAGCATATTTATTAATAGTAAGACTTGTTTACCAGAAAATATAGAAGACATTTGATTACTTTAAATGTAAAAACAAGGACCATACATAAGATCAGCCCATTCCTGGCCAGCACTCAATAACCATCTCTGTCCCAACCCTGTACCAGTGTGAACTTTTGGGTGCCTTCTGCTCTGGCTGCTGTCATCTGTACGTGTTATCTCTGACCCTCCTCTAGCCACCTGTCACCTTCTTCCCTGAAATGTTTGCCTTCTTGCTCATTAATGATTTGGGGGTCATTAGTGTCCAAAGGGCAAGAGCTATGGCTTCTTCTTTTTGTTTTTGCAGCAGCGTTTTATACACTGAAGGTTCTCAGTAAATACTTGCAGTTGTCAATTGAATGGTTGAAACAGAAAGAATAAAGAGACCAAACAAACACAATCTGTTGATTACCAAGGGGTTCTCTCTTGTCTTATGGAATAGGTGGCTATTTTAACTTGACCTGATGGTACAGTTTTGACATAAACACCAGCGGTATTATTGTACTTTGCTTTGTCTAGGTAGACACCTCAACAGTTTTCTCTTTGTTTTTTGTGTGTCTTCCCTCCATTCATCAGGCTGGAGGCGTGGCATCTGGATTAAACCACGTTCTTACAAACGACCTGACAGCCAAGAGGCTCCTACATGTGAAGGGTCGTAGAGTGGTGAGAGCCACAGAAGTTCCCCTTAGCTGGGACAGTTTCAACAAGGGTGACTGCTTCATCATTGACCTTGGCACCGTAAGTTTCATATACACATATCAATGTCTAAAGAAAAGTGAATTGCTTTCAGATCAAATCATATATACATGTCATTGAAAAGAATCACTTTTTCTACACACTCGAAAGGGGCCACGTTTATGTGAGATGAGTAATTGCCAAGTATTTAAATGACGCATGAAGTGAGACTCAAAGGTTTTTCTTTGATAGGTTTAGAATAGTGATTTAGTTCTTCCTACCATAGAACAGATATTGACTAATTTTTAATACGTTTCCCCTTCTCTCTGAACAGAGCTTCCTCTAATTATTTTTGTCTCTAATTGTGCATGGGAAAACATAGCTTGAGGGGGAAACTGGTTCCCCCAGCAACAAAAGGTTCTAGAATATAATATGGACATAAGATGAATCTAAACAGCCACCTAAAGAATTGTAAAGATGTATTTTGACATACATATACACACACATCATACTGTTTCACACTTTTCAATCAGCAGAAGTACAAATATCAAGTATCATCTTAACAACATGGGCAATGGTATATTATATCTGACTTATGTTTTCTTCCTGGAAGACGCTTCTCTAATATCAGGTATATTTATTAATCATTATTGTCATGACAAAGAAGCATTATTGCAAGACTCTTTGCTAGACTCTAGAAGGTAGGATATAAGTTGTATCTTTAAAACTTTGTTAAGTTTTATAACAGAAATAAAGAGCATTTCCCTCCGCTGAAAAACCATGTGCAAAAGCAATGAAAGCAAGAAAGCACAGAACTTACAAGGATCTCCTCTTCCTGCTTTTCATTATCATAATTTTCATCACATCATACATCTCAACATTCTAATTATCATTCCTAACATTTCTGGGCCAAACGTTATAACAGAGTCATGAGCTGACCTGCATTGCTTCAGTTAGCATGAGGCTTGTATGTGGAATTTGCTCAAGGTTGCACAGTCAGTAAATGATGAAGCCAGGATTAGACTCTCAGCATATCTGATGCCCCACTAAGCTTTTTGTTTTATTGCATCTACTTGGGCAGTATTTTGGGATAAAGCAGTAGACAGAAGCCAAAAGAGCTTATTCCATTGGCATAGAGGAGGGACACAAAGGATTCTGAAAACAGAGTTACAAAGTTCTGTTTAAGCAATATTAATTTAACAACAGTACAGAGATTAAATGTACTAAGGTTATACATTGTTTGGAAAATGACCCCAAGATACAAACTGCATCAGTTTCTTTAAGTGAGCGTGCATCTATAGTTTTATTACTACTTATACATAATCCAACTGTCTTGGATCATACCAGCTTGTGTGCAAAGTTGAGATCGCAATAATATAAATGCCCAAAGTACAATTCTTAATATTATACGTAGACATCTACACCCTAAATGGCAGTACTTTTGCCCTGAATCTCACAATAAATTTCATGGGAAAGTCCTTTTCAACTTCAATAGCTAATTCATTCTCCTAGCAGATTTAAGTCCTGACTCTCAGATCTAGGCAGAATACACATACTATTCCACCTTTTCATTCTCCCCTCCCGCCACCACCCCCTACACTATAAATAAAGAAAGAAATAACTCGTGCAAATAAATGTCTACAGCCACACAGTTCCAAAAGCAGTTGCACCATTCAGTCTCTCAAACCCTATGCACAATGATTTTCTCTCTCAACTTTCATCTCCACCATTTACACTCTAAAGCCCTTTATAATATATAAGTGCTTTTGAAAATAAAATGGCATTTTTATTAGAAAAAGGAGACCTCAGTTCTCATTCCAGTTGCTGTACTCTGAGGTTCTCATCTGTAAAAGTAGATATTCGATTAGGTGATCGTGAGGATCCCTAAACAAGAAGGACGCTTCCCAATGATAATGTAATTAATGACTGCCATTACTTGTAAGTATTTCTTTTCTTAAAAAAAAAATTGTTGTGTATAATGTAATTGCTATGTGAGTATAATAATCTATTCAATTATCATGAATAGCTTCCAGTTGAGCTTTCTAACTATCTGCTATGATCTTGGGCAACTCACTGTCTCTGAGCCTTAACTTCCTCATTTGTTTTTACATCTTGAGTCTGATTTCTGATGCCACTTTTATCCTTAGCTGACTATGATTCAGTCTCATCTGACGCACAGTCACATCTGGGAAATGGCAGTTATCATCCCAGTTTCAAAAGGGGAAACAAAAGCCTTAGGCCTTAGAAGGTATGTGCAAGTCACTCCACATTCATGCCAGTTGCGTGGTGACCCAGGATGGGGCCTGGTTTTTCTATTCCTACTTTACATTCTTTTCATGGCACTAAGCTAACTTGGTAGTATATTAGATAGTATGGCCTGGTAATAGAATGTCTTGCGATAGTTTCGGAATCTGCTGAATTCAAACCTGATGATGCCTAATCTGCTGAGATTCCACTGAAAGCAGTAGTATTCACTAAATCATTTATCATTTTGCGGAACAAATACAGAGTTTCCACTATGGGCCAAGTAGTTGGGTGTGGTGGTAGACAGGTTGTGGTTCTTATGTCGTATACTCTCTTCTCATAGTCAACCTGTGGGAGTATGGCCCACAAATCCAGGTTCATGCAATAGGGACAGAGTCTCTATTATAAGGTTCCAGGGCATTCGTCTATTTAATAGTAAGTTATTTTATATAGTTAATTTTATTTAATAACTTTCAAGTTCTCTTCTCCCATGCCTTATAAAAGAGATATATGGAATGAAAGATATTTGTTGCAGAGGTACTGGTGCTTGGTTATCTGTTATATTCTGGAATTTTCCTATACACAAAAGGGATACCCTGGTGAGAATCAAGCACCAGATTCCTACATAATCTACAATAAATACTTCCAAGATCTGTGTTTGTGTTATTAACCTTTAGCCAGTTGGTGTGTTGCCAAAAGTTTCTGAATGGTGATAAGATCTTGAACTACCTTGGCAGCTTTATTTTGGGGTGTGTCAGTAAACAAAGAAATACACGTAACTAACTTTTCTGTACCATAATATTTTAATATTAGTCATTACACTAGTTATTTAAAGACAACCTTCTGTGTCAGAGAGCCTAAAAGGATGCCAATGCAGTTTCTTCAAGTTTGTATTATGACCCAGGTATGAAAAATTTAATTTAAACATCCAGTTGTCACCCAGCTAAGGCCACCTAGCCAAAACTAAGTTTATGGATATAATCTAAATCCCATACCTTGATCACATATCAGAGAAATCAGCTTTTTTGATCAACAGTCGCTATTATTAATATGTTATTCCATTATCTCTTAGAAACATTTGTACTTTTATTGAATTCTAGATTATAGTAAATATTCCCAGACATTACAATATAACCTCCTCAGCCGGAGGCATAAGATAGTATAATTATCAGTTTAGCCAGTTTGAAAGGGAAGAAAATCATCAATATTTTGGAGAATGATTTAGACTCATTGTCTCATATTTAGCATATTTTTAGAAAATAATATGAAACGTGGCTAGATCTTACCAATTTATGGAGTCATTGGAAAAACACTTTAGAACAATATATTTTAAGGGTGGTGAATTTATTAGTCATGATTTTCCCACTATTTTTAAAGATATGAAGTATTTTTAGAAAATAGTAAAATTACATCTGAAAATACTGTAAAATACTTCGGGTAACTGCAGAATGTGAATGATAGTGAGAAAAAAGCCCATATTCTTAAGATTTGGGGTCTGAGGTTAACTCTTGAAAAGGTATGTCACAGTCAGCCACTAGTGAAGAATTCGATTTCCCAGGAGTAGGAATTCCTGTGGTGAGTTACTGATCCTGATGTTCCCATGTTCTGTCTCCTTGTTGTTTGGTCAGTGATGCAGCTTTACCCTGTTCTCCTCACTATTTAGAATCGATCACACCCTCTCCCATTGTTCAGTCATGCTGCTTTGAGAAAACGGTCTCCACTTCCTCATTTACCAGTCAGTCTTTAACCCACAGTCCGACTTTCACTCCCACAGTTCCTCGGAAACTGTTCTTGTTATGGGCATCGATGACCCCTGCTAAATCCAGTGGACACCATGACATTATGCACTTGATTCTTGTGTTACAACCCACACTGTTGACTTTTCCCAGCTTCTCCAGCCTCACTCCTCCCCTGGCTTCCTTGTTTTTCTCCCTTTCAGGCCACTCTTATTCTTCTTTGTATGGCCTGCCCACCCCTTCAAGTGCTTTTTTAAAGGATTTTAATTATTGTATCTTCTTTTATACATTTTTCCTAAGCAAACTCATCCTCACCCAGAGTTTCAGCTACTACCCATGAGTCAATCTAAACTTTCAATCTAACTCAGACCTCTTGTCTGAGCTCCAAGTCAATAAAATTTCAGGTATTTCACGTCATGTGTGTCATAAGAACCTCAAACTCAACACGTCTAGAAAATGGTTTCTTCTCTAATTGTCTTTATTTTATCAATGGAGCCACCACTCACTCAGGTTTTCAAAATCAAAATCCAGGAGTGATCCTGACAACTTCTCCTAAGGGCTCCACATTCATTTAATTGCTATCCTAGCCTATTCTACCTTCTAATTATCTCTTGAATCTTTCCTGTTCTCTTCACTGCTGTTGATACTGTCTTAGTACCCCGTGCCTGACACATTCCTTCAAGTCACCAGACTTTTGCTTTTGCAGATTGATTCCTTTGCCTAGAATACTCACCTCTTCTTTGGCACCTTTCTCCAGCAGGCATCCAATATTTTCTCATCCTTTGATATTCACTTCAGATATTGCCTTCTTCATAGTTTGTTTCCTGACCTTTTCTTCTTCTCCTGTCCAGTGTCCCAGTCCTTTAGGGTCAGGTCTAGACTTAACTTTCCTGTCATTATGCAGAGACTTGCTTCTCAGCCTTTTCTATATTGCTTGTCTGTTTACTTATCAGCCTTCCTCACTCACTGTGTTTCTGAAATATAAAGCCTAGAACTTACAACCACTCAACAAATGTTTCAACAAATGTATATCCATCCAGCATAAAGTATATGGCTCATGCAGTCACGTGTCTAGAGTGTTTT